GAGGAGGGAGGAGGGAGGAGGGAGGAGGGAGATTGGCGATAGTTGCACGCATGACAGAGCCCAGGGAGGGCGATGTGCTGTTTGGGTTTGCGCAGGGCACCCGCATGTGCACAGCGAATGGCGACAGTTGCGCGCTTGGTAGTGCCCAAGGCGGGCGAGGTCCCATTGAGGTTTGCGCAAGAGCCCCACTGGACCCCCCGGGGACGTCGCAACGCAGCGACAGTAACACGCTTGACAGCACCCAGCGATGGCGAGGTCTAGATCTGGTCTGCGTCTGTTACCACTCCGCTGGACACCCCGGGGGCGAAGCAACTTGGCGACCGTTGCGCGCCTGGCAGTGCCCAGTGAGGGCGAGGTGCCGCTTGGGTCTGCGTGGGGCGCTGCGCCGCTGGCTCCTCCTGCCTCATCCCCAGAGCTCCCTGGCACCGCCAGGGCGGGCGACGCTTCCCGGCGGCAGTCCGCAACCTCCGCGTCCTGGGCCATGCCCGAGCCGCCGCTGAACCACGGGGAGGCGGTGCCGCAAAACTTCCCGCTCTCGCTGTCGCTCGCCGTTCCGGGGACACCCGCGACGCTGCACTGAATCTCAGGCTGGGGAGCCCGAGAAAGACGCCCACCCACCCAGACATCCGACGACTCGCGACATGGGGCCCTTCCCGTGGTCCTGTGATTGTTTTGCGCTCCGGAGACATTTGTTTGACTGTTCCAGGGCCGTGGCACTTGAAATTGGCGAAAACCGGCCGTCTTGTTTTTTCGAATTGTCCGGTGTCTTGGGACCCCCCCGCTGGCAGGGACAGTAGGATGGAGAAGAGGAGGCGAACATCGTTCATGTCAGTTTGCAAAGTTAGTTTACGAGTCTACAGTTTTCTTTCGGGAGTCAGTCGGCTCGCATGCTCCATTCAACGGCCAGGATCATGCGGGCATCGCGAAACAAAGGCCAGCACGGTAATTTAGCTGGTCTATTATTTTGGCCTGGTTGAGACACCGATCTTGTTTGCAATGTTACCGCTTGGTTCCTGGCCCTACGACTCGAACAGTTGTACAGATCCAGTGTCTCCTCTTCCTTCTCCCTCCTCCTCTGATTGTTTTCATCTTAGGAGGAGGGACCATGAGGAGGTGGATTCGTATAGCTCGCGACTCGAGTCTTCGATGACGCAGGTCTGTCCCACTCTGATGAGCCCGTTTGTCTGGTGGCTCGGGCAGCTCACCTGCACCTTTTCGAGACCCTTCATCAGCACTTGGAGGTGGGGTTGAGGAGAAGGGGGAGAAGAGGAAGATTAGATGACGGAGGAGGAAGACAAGGACGATGAGGAGAATACCGAGGAGGATGAAGAGGACGAATAGGACGAGACGCACTCGGGGGATTGAGATTGAATATGGCGATGATGATGCTGCTGATGATGATGATCATGATGCTGCTGCTGTTGCTGCTGCTGCTCCTGCTGAGTGTGGTTGTGGTGATGATGATGAAAATGTGATGCTGCTACTGATGATGATGGTGGTGCTGCTGCTGATGATGAGGATGATGCAGATAATGATGATCATGACGATGATGCAGATGGCGATGATGATGATGCCGCTGCTGCGGATGATGATGCTGATGATGATGATGACGATGCTCCTGGTGCTGCTGACGATGCTCATGATGATGCTGCTGCTGATGATGATAGTGATGACGATCATGAAAATGCTGCTGATGATGATACTGATGATGATGAGGATGATGATGGTGATGACGACGATGATAATGATGCTGATGCTGATGATGATGCTGATGCTGATGATGATGATACTGATGCTGATGCTGCTACTGCTGCTCCTGCTGATGGTGGTTGTGGTGGTGATGATGCAGATGATGCAGATGATGATGCTGCTGATGATGATGATGATGGTGACGACGATGATGATAATGACGATGCTGATGCTGATGATGATGTTGATGATTCTGATGATGATGCTGACGATGACGACGATGACGATGATGATGGTGGTGCCGATGATGGTGACGACGATGACGATGCTGATGCTGATGATGCTGATGATGATGCTGATGCTGATGCTGAATGCAGACGATGCTGATGATGATGCTGCTGATTCTGATTCTGATGATGATGATGATGATGATGATGATGTTGACGATGCCAATGTTATTGACGTGGTGATACCAACGGCGACGATGACAGTACGAGTACGACGGCGACGATGATGGTGTCGATGATGATGCTGACGATGATGCTGATGAATCTGATGATGATGATGTTGATGATGATGCTGATGATGCTGATGATCATGGCTAATTACGCTGATGATGATGTTGATGATGATGATGCTGATGATGGTGACGACGACGATGATGATGCTGTCGCTTCTGATGCTGATGATCATGAAGATGATGATCACTAATGCTCATGATGATTGTGCGGTTGCTGCTTCTTGGTGATGACAAGGACGACGATGGCGATGACGATGGCGATGGCGACGATGCTGATGCTGATGATGATGCTGATGATGTTGATGGTGATGACGACGATGATACTGATGATGATGATGATGATGATGATGATGATGATGATGGTGATGGTGATGGTGATGGTGATGGTGATGACGACGACGATGATACTTATGATGATGCTGATGATAATTATGATGATGATCATGATGATGCTGCTGTTGGTGATGATGAATATGCTAATGACGGTGATTATGATTATGATGGTGAGGACGAAGACGAGGAAGAGTATGAGGACGAGGACGACGACGACACCGAGGAGGACCAGTATGATGATGAGGAGGATGATGAGGAGGAGGAGGGTGATGATGATGATGCTGATGATGCTGATGCTGATGCTGATGCTGATGATGCTGCTGCTGATGATGCTGAGGATGCTGATGACGATGACGACAATGATGCTGATGATGATGCTGCTGCTGCTGCTGATGATGCTGATGATGCTGATGATGCTGATGCTGCTGCTGATGATGATGATGCTGATGATGCTGAGTCTGATGGTTGTTGCGATGAACGATGATGATAGTGTTGGGAAGGGGAGGAGGAGTAGGAGAATGATGTGGCCTTTCGTGCAAGGACTTTTCTTCTCTGGCAGTGCAATTGCCAGCAGGGAGGGTGACGGCGGTACCCTTCGCAGGCAGTCCGTTGCCGACCTGGCGCGCCAGCAGAAGACCTCCCGATCATCCAAGGCTCACCGGGCGCTTGCTCCGAGCTTTCCCGACTGGTAGAAGCAGCTGGCAGCCGCCTCTCTTGGGGACATATTGCGGTCACGAAGTTTGGCTTAGCGCGTCGCGCCGCCGATTCTGGCCCACCGCGCTTCGGCGCGACACGCTATCCACGGTCCAGTCCATAAGCGTCATCGTCCCCAGCTTTTCCCAGCCTCCCGTCCCGCGGATCTGAGCGACACATGATCCGCTTGCAGGGCATACCGTGTCGACGGGGTCGCCGCCGCGACACGCTAAGCAAAAGTTCCCGACCGTATCCGAGCCCTACCCCAGGGCGAATTTCTGAGCCATTGGGCCGCAGGCCGCAGCTGACTAAGAATAATAGCACGAATAATAAGAAGACGAATAATACCAGCAAAGGTATTGTACGAATAATAGAATAATACCGGTAGTAAGAATCATATTAGTCATGATTAGAAGAAATATAGTAAAACGGATAACCGTATAATAACACTACAAATGCCACGGCTACTAGTTATCATAACCAGTGTAATTCTAGGCATTTTCATAACAATGAGAAGAAGACTAAGAGTAAGACTGACAATGCGAATCATACTGCTGAGGCAGAGTGTGATTACTTTTACCAGCACTAAGGCGAAGACGCATCTGCACAGGCATACACATTCGGAGGTCTTCGCGGGCTTCTTGGATCGGCGCTGGACCCCCTGGCGGCGCCCCAAGCGCCGCCCCTGGTGCTGTTCGCGCGCCAGAGAAAGGGACCCGGCGCCGATGCGAGAACCCCATGCGGACCTCAGAATGTAGACGTTGATGCAGATTTTTCTTCTTCTAGGCTTGTGTGCGATTTGTCCTCGTTGTGCACGTGTTTTTTGTCGTAGAAGTTGATTCCTCTTTCTAAGCACGGTCTATTTATGTTATCCGATCTGGGCTCTGGCCCCAGATCGCGGCTTCTGCTTCCCCGGCTCGCCGTTTTGATATGAGCGAGCGACGGTCTTCTGCCCGCGGCTGCATCGCCTCTCGGCCGCGCATCACCTCTAATTCGGCACGAGCTGATTTGGCATGCAGGGTTCGTGGGGCCAGCCCAGCGGCGTCGCCGCTTGTCGGCGCCTGACGGTGACTGAGCATGTGTTTTTTATTGAGAAGGTTTCCTGGACCGATCGCTGGCTGACGCAAGGCCTGGGCTGGTCCAGGCTGTCCGAGCCACGCTCGCGAGGGCCCTCCCTGCTTGGTCCAGTGCCGACAAGGAGAGCACGGGACTGGACGACCAGGGCTGGGCTATGGCGACGACAGGCGTGGGAGATGCTCCTCGCTCGATTCCTGGTTCGACAGTGCTGCGCAGACCCCAAGAAGCATTCGTACAGAGCCTTGTTTGGAGCTTCTGGGCCCACTCAGGACCAAGTGAGGCTCACATCAGGATTCCCTGGGTGCCTTCGCAGGCGCAGTCTTGGGCCCACCCGTGCGCTGCTCACCACACCGTTCTTCACAGTCTTAGGCCTCTGGCGGTGTGAACAGGTCACCATGTCAGGGGCTCGAAGTTTCAGACACCCTCTTTATGCGGGGCGGCTCATTGCGTACGCCGAGTTGCGAGAATCCCAGGTTCCAGATGGGCCTCCAGAAGGGGTGGGGCAGGGTGGCGATGGTGTGAGATCCGTTGTTGAACCTGTCTCAACAGAGAAGGCTGCTGGGAATCGGTACACCAGATCCGACGGATACGCGACGTACCAATGATGACGGCGTGTAGACCGCAACAAGTGGGTTGTTCGTACCCTGTTGTTGGTGTTCCGTGGTTTGTACCATATGGTGTCTCATGGTTCGAGCCCTATTGTGCTGTCTGGTTGGTTCTTTATAGTTGGTGGACTATGATGGACGGCCTGCGTTGCCCAGTGGTTTGCGCACTATGGTTGGTGCCCTATGGTTGGAGTCTTATGGCTTGAAATCAGTGCCCTGCAGTGCCCTGTGATTGGTGCCTTATGCTGTTGGCGCCAACGGTGGGGGCCTTTTTTGTGCCCTACGGTTGGTACCAAATGGTGGTCTATGCTTGGTGCTCCATGATTGGTGCCCTATGGTTGGTGTTCTGTTGTGTTGCTGCCCTACAGTCGGGGCCCTGAAGAAGGAACCCCTTTGGTTGGGGAGTGGCTCCGCGTTCCTTAAGTGTTTCACAGCTTGCCTCAGGTTATCCTTATGTTTTCGATAGGAAATCGAAGTTAAACTTATGGAAAAAACGGGCCTCGTTCCTTATTTAGGGTTCCTTAGGTCAACGCCCCGACTGTATGGTGCCCAAAGGTTGCCGGTGCTCTGTGGAGCCTCATTCTTGATGCTCCAGCCGCTGAGCACCGAGCGCGAACGGCCACAGGGCTTCGTCTGGAGACGGCGGACCTGCGAAGAAGCGGAGCAGGCACGGGGCGCTGGCCACAGGGCACCGAGCGTGAGCGTACACCACCGACCAGGTGCGGCCGACTGCGGCACCCGGGACCGCTGCCGCACATAGCACCAAGCGCATAGGGCACAGGCGTGCCAGCGGACGACTGCGGAGCACCGGGGACCATGGGCCGCAGGGCAGCAGCCAGAGGGCAGCAACCCCCAGGACAGCGGCGCGCGAATGGCCGACTGCGGCAGACAGGACACCGTCAGGGCACCAACCAGAGGGCATTGGCCCATGGGAGACCAGCGCGCGATCGGCCGGCTGCGGAGAACAGGGCCAGCTCGCTCCGAGACGGACAAGGATCTCTGAGCAGAAGCGCATTGGGGCAAACCCTTCGACTCTGCGGAATAGATCGGCAGTGCATTGGCCAATCACAGTCAGGGCTATCCCAACCCTGACTGGGACAGGGTACGTGAGCCCTCTAGGTGGAGATCGGTGTTGCGAAACCCGAAGGAGACGGCACCCATGCACACCCAGGGGGGTTGACCAGCGGGGCCAAGGTTTTCCCAGTGGAGGGTTGGTCTTATTTGTCCAGATTGACGGCCGAGTGCGGCTGAATTTCAGTTTTTTCGCCTGCGTCTCACCAGCATGGCTTCTGTAGCTCCAATCAGCCTAATTACTGCGCCGTGGCGAGAGTTCGCCCAATTCCATCAGCACTTCGTTTGTGTATGAGGCCCCAGGTGCAATTTTTGGACAAACGCCAGCGCAGCGAGTGAAAAGGCCAATCTCGAGTCCTCGGCTATCCGAAGTGGGTTTTGGCGTATATTTGTCAGCAAGAAGTCCCGCCAGACCGAATCTGAGATTCGTTGTGGGTGGGGCATTGTCTGCAACTCGGGATCCGAACAGACGGCAACAAATAATGCGATCGCAGTGTGCGAACTAATTTTGCTAGACTTATGACTCGATCGCATCCCAGGAGTGATCAGCTCATTTCGCTTCAGGTGGGATTACCAAACATATCCAGCACCAGCGAAGAGGACCAAACTTTCACCACGGCGACGTAGCCCCTTCTCGCGGACTCATGCGCGGGATCCTGTTCAGCCCTCCGCTGAGCGGGTCCGGAGGAGGAGACCGTCTACAGTCGGGCCCTGAAGAAGGAACCCTTTTCGTTGGGGAGGGGCTCCGCGTTCCTTAAGTGTTTCACAGCTTGCCTCAGGTTTTCCTTATGTTTTCGATCGGAAACCGAAGTTTAACTTACGGAAAATAGGGGCCTCGTTCCTTATTTAGGGTTCCTTAGGTCAAGGCCCCGACTGTGTACCTGCTTCCGTGGTCTCGCATCGGCGTCCGTGTCGGGCTGCCTTGCACTTCGGCTTCGCAGCTGGCACGGCCGCGGCACGGGCCCGATGCCCGTCCGTAGCGTCGGCCCCCATGCTTGGTTGTGCCGCGGCCCCTGGGCAGCATCTGCAGCGCGCCAGCGTACCGCGCAGGGCTTGCTGGTGCACGCAGCCAATTCGCTGGCAGAGTTTTTGAGCAGCTCCGTGCGCGGCGGCTCGCTGCCCTCCCCCCCGCCCTGTCCTGTTCCAGCCACCTGTCTGTTGCATGCCCCTTCTTCTGCCCGGCTCCAGCATTTCCCCCATCATTATTCTATATCAGAGCGAGGGGGCTGAACCGAGCGGTCATTCACTGTCCCTGGGTGCGCGGCTGAAGTGGAATTCCGCGATGCGGATTCTTGTTGTTGTTGTTGTTGTTGTTGTTGTTGTTGTTGTTGTTGTTGTTGTTGAACATTATTACTTCTAAAGAATAATTATTGTTGGGACCCCTGGTACACGACCCCCCTCCAAAACCTAGGCCGCAGCTACATTTTCATCATTTTTTCGCGAAAGCTTCAGAAAAGTGGATTAGTACCGGATCCGGTTGTTTTGTTCCCCCCCGTTTTCCCTTGCAAAAAACACTATAAAATGAAATTTCTTGTTCAAATGTAATCCAATTTCAAGAATCCCTTGCAAAAAATAAGCTAAAGTGGACATTCGCGCGTGCAAGACGAAATCCTTCCAAAACCTTAGGTTTCGGAACGATTTCAACATAAAAACATCAAAAACCCAATGGTTTTTTAAATAAAAAATTGTCAAAATCTCATCCCGCGCGCTCTTGCGGATTCGTAGGAAAACCATCACTTTTTAAACAATTTTGTCAAACGGGCTTTTGCGAGCAACTTTTTCAAACTTCTGCGACAACGGTTGCGCACCTGCCAGGGCCATCATCCCTGTCAAATAATACCATGCGGGACACATTCGTTTTTTCTTCGCGCGCGCACGCCGAAATCTACAAAAACCATTGGGTTTTTAAGAATTTTAGCACCGCGCATCATAAAATCACACGAATCGCACCGTAGGTCCTCGAAAAACAGCTGCACGACTTTTCAAAATTTCCACCCGCGCGCGCTGTCCGAATCCTCAAAAAAACCAATGGTTTTCCAACATTTATGTTACATGAGCTCGCGCGAGCTACTTTCGCACGCTCTTGCAACGGGGTTCGCGCGCCTGCCAGGGGCCAGAACTCCGCTCTCTCTGTCTCTCTCTCTGTCTGCTCTCTGTCTCTCTCTCTCTGTCTGTCTGTGTCATGTATTGTATGTCACAATTGCAGGATGCTGGGCACACGCGCGCCCCGAATAAGTGACCAAGTTCTGTGGGTGTGTACCCCACGCCAGTGTAGTAGCCACGGTCGTCCGCACGCCACGAAGTGAAGTGTCCCAACGTCATAGGGCGGGAAGCTGGGTTTGGGTGGTCGCGAAGAGTCGTTTGGATATTTGGTAGAGCTTGAACTGCCCCCCCACGAAGTGGGGGTATTGTCTCGCGTCGCATGAAAACCCTGGCACTGGTGAGAACACTGAGCGTTCGGGTAAAATGATTGTTGTTGTTGTTGTTGTTGTTGTTGTTGTTGTTGTTGTTGTTGTTGTTGTTGTTGTTGTTTGTTGTTGTTGTTGTTGTTGAACACTATTACTTCTAAAGAATTATTATTGTTGGACCCCCTGGTGCACGCCCCCCGCCCAAAACCTAGGCCGCAGCTACATTTTCATCATTTTTCTGCGAAAGCTTCAGAAAAGTGGATTACCCCCGGATCCGGTTTTTTGTTGACGCTCGTTTTCCCTTGCAAAAAACAATAGAAAATGAAAATTCTTGTTCTTAGTTGATCAAATTTCAAGAATCCCTTGCAAAAAATAAGGTAAAGTGGACATTCGCGCTCGCAAGACGAAATCCTTCCAAAACCTTAGGTTTCGTAGCGATTTTAACATAAAAACATCAAAAACCCAATGGTTTTTTAAGAAAAATTGTCAAAATGTCCTTCCGCGCGCTCTTGCGGATTCATAGGAAACACACCACTTTTTAAACATTTCTGTCAAAAGGATCTTTGCGTGCTACTTCTTCAGGTGCTTTGAACTTCTCCAACAACGGTTGCGCGCCTGCGAGGGCCACCATCCCTTGCAAAAAATGAGACGAAGTGTACCGTGTACCACATCATATGTAACAGATGTGATCAACCTCTGTGGGTGTGTACCCCACGCCAGTGTAGTAGCCAGGGTCGTCCGCACGCCACGAAGTGAAGTGTCCCAACGTCATAGGGCGGGAAGCTGGGTGTGGGTGGTCTCGAAGAGTCGTTTGGATATTTGGTAGAGCTTGAACGGCCCCCCCACGAAGTGGGGGTATTGGCTGGTGTCGCAAGAAAACCCTGGCACTGGGGAGAACACTGAGCGCTCGGGTAAAATGATTGTTGTTGTTGTTGTTGTTGTTGTTGTTGTTGTTGTTGTTGTTGTTGTTTGTTGTCGTCGTCGTCCCACCCGCGACCCGCCCCGCGACCCACCCGCGACCCGCCCCGCGACCCACCCCGCGACCCACCCGCGACCCACCTCGCGACCCACCCCGCGACCCACCCGCGACCCACCCTGCGACCCACCCAAATTTTTCGGCGCCTGCGGCCTGTTTCTTTTGAATTCGTTCCAGGTGGAGAACCTGCGGCCCACCCGCGACCCGAACCGTGCCCGCGACCCACCCTCGACCCACCGCGACCCACCCGCGACCCACCCGCGACCCACCCCGCGACCCACCCAAAATTTTCGGCGCCTGCGGCGGGCTGTTTTTGAATTCCTTGCAGGTGGAGGTGGAGAGCCCGCGACCCACAAGCCAAAAACTTCGGCGCCTGCGGCGGGTTTCTTTTGCATTCGTTCCAGGTGGAGAACCTGCGACCCAAACCGCGTTCAGTGTACACATCAAAATTTTCGGCGCCTGCGGCGGGCTGTTTTTGAATTCCTTCCAGGTGGAGGTGGAGAGCCCGCGACCCACTCGCAAACCAAAACTACGTTCACTGAACAAGCCAACAATTCGGCGCCTGCGGCGGGCTGTTTTTGCATTCGTTCCGGGTGGCCCACCAGCGATCCCCCCCGCGCTGAACTTGTCAGAGCACGCAAATCGGCGCCTGCGGTGGGCTTGCTCGCATTGGTCAGGGGGAGGAGGAGGAGGAGGAGGAGGAGGAGGAGGAGGAGGAGGAGGAGGAGGAGGAGGAGGAGGAGGAGGAGGAGGAGGAGGGGAGGAGAGAGGAGGAGGAGGAGAGGAGGAGGAGGAGGAGGAGGAGGAGGAGGAGGAGGGAGGAGGAGGAGGAGGAGGAGGAGGAGGAGGGAGGAGGAGAGGAGGAGGAGGAGGAGGAGGATGAGGAGGAGGAGGAGGAGGAGGAGGCGGAGGAGGAGGAGGAGGAGGAGGAGGAGGAGGAGGAGGAGGAGGAGGAGGAGAGAGGAGGAGGAGGAGGAGAGGAGGAGGAGGAGGAGGGAGGAGAGGAGGAGGAGGAGGAGGAGGAGGAGCAGGAGGAGGAGGAGGAGGGGAGGAGGAGGAGGAGGAGGAGGAGGAGGGGAGAGGAGGAGAGAGGAGGAGGAGAAGGAGGAGAGAAGAGGAGGAGGAGGAGGAGGAGCAGGAGGAGGAGGAGGAGGAGGAGGAAGAAGGCGCCATCGACAAGGAAGGTGAGGGCCACGAGGTCCGCCGGCTCGACGCCCGCGTCGCCCGCGCCTGCACCCTCACTCTTATGCGCAATTGCGGGGTGCTACGTCAGAGCGAGGGGGCTGAACCGAACGGTCATTCACTGTCCCTGGGTGCGCGGCTGAAGTGGAATTCCGCGATGCGGATTCTTGTTGTTGTTGTTGCTGTTGCTGTTGCTGTTGCTGTTGCCGTTGCCGTTGCTGTTGCTGTTGCTGTTGCTGTTGCTGTTGTTGTTGTTGTTGTTGTTGTTGTTGTTGTTGTTGTTGTTCTTTGTTGTTTGTTGTTTGTTGTTGTCGTCGTCCCACCCGCGACCCACCCCGCGACCCACCCGCGACCCACCCCGCGACCCACCTGCGACCCACCCGTGACCCACCCCGCGACCCACCCGCGACCCACCCCGCGACCCACCCGCGACCCACCCGCGACCCACCCGCGACCCACCCCGCGACCCGCCCGCGACCCACCCCGAGACCCCCCCGACGACCTACCTGCGACCCACTGGCGACCCACCCGCGACCCACCCGCGACCCACCCCGCGACCCATCCGCGACCCACCCGCGACCCGCCCGCGACCCACCGCGACCCACCCACAATTT